AGGGTTTGGAAAAAACTACACGGTTTCAGTTAGGTTGCTACCAAGGAGAACAGCCTCTGCAGAAGCACTACAGCACGGCACCCAACTGCATCACATCCTTTGGGGACTGCTTCAGAGTGCCTGAGCCCACACAAAGCACCTCTCCCAGGTTGCAGGCCTCAGGGCACACTCAGTGTGCAGGGCCACTGGTGTTTGTCTGCTGCCCTCACCTCATAATCTACACCAAGATCCATCCAGTGCAAATGTCCACCATTGCACGGGTCCTGAACTCCATCACTATCACCAGAGAGATGGGGAGAGGCACTGAGTCCCTGTGGGCTCCCAGTCTATCACACCTACCTTCTCTGGATAAGAGCAGAGGACAAAGTGCTACAGTGAAGGCTTAAAGTCCACCTGAACAACCTGCCTGAGCTGGAGTTCCCTGGGCCAAGACCAGCAGCCACGGCTGTCCCACACCTGCTCCATGATTGCTTCTGGAAGCTCTTCTTCAGAGCAACATGCCTATGTGGCCTTAAAAGACCCCCACTCACCAGCCCTGGAGCACAACAAAGACTTGAGCAAACTGTGGGAAAGTGGGTGGATTAAGAGAGAAGAGCTGTTGTCCTCTGCTCCAAACCAGACACGTTGTTCAGTCAGGTTTGGCTGTTGGAGGCCCATCAAGGCTACAACAGTGCCATAGTGCTGGGAGTCCTGTCCCCATTCCCTGAAGTAACCCCAGCCTCTGCTACACTCTCACCCAGGGCCTCTCCCTGCTATTACTTCTTCTTCCTCACCAGTTGAGGCCTGCACTGCCTGCTCCCCACACCATCACCTGGTGTAGAAATGGGACTGAGGTCAGCTGCTCCTGTAGTTGCTGTTGTCCAGCTGTTTCCATCCCAAAGTAGCTTGATCAGATGCCAGAAGGACGGAAAAATATGAGAGGAGGAGAGGGGACATGTTTATGGCGTGACCCAGCATTTATGGGCCAAAAACAAGCTGTCCCAATTAATATTGCCACTTGACATAAGGGACGGATCACATTTTTGCAAGGCAGCTCCAGTTGCCTGCTACTAAGTGGGGCTATGAATCCATTCCTCTTCATGCTGCCTTTAGAAAAGGCTTCAGAGAGGAAGAAGAGGCTGGAAAAGCCTGTTCTGAGTAAACCTCACCTACCATGAACAAGGCCTGGTAGTGCTCAATCAGCCTCTGTAGCACCAATATGACAGCACTGCTGTCTTCAATGTTCATGATGCCACAGTCCTTCTCTCCAGGCTTCTCCTTCTGCAGGATGTTGGGGCCAAAGATTGTGGCCAAGTTTGAGATTGTCATTTTATTCCCAGGAATCTATCAAGTAAGCACAAACAGAAATTGCATATTACAGATGAGGTAATATGAAAAAAATCCCTGGATCCTCCAGCCTGAACAGAGCTACTAAGTAAGGGATGTTGATCTGGATCCAGTCTGGCCACAGGGCCAGCATGAAAGGTTTGTGGTGCTGGAGCACACTCACTCCCTTTCCTTGCATCAGGGCCTCCCTTGCTGTCTAACTCACTTTCATAGCCCCTATCAAAAGGTAACAACCAGAATTTCTACATCATCTTATAAAATGGGACAAAGCCTTTGAGTCATGCAGAAGCTCAGAGCTCTAACTGTCCAAATAAATCAAAATCAACCTCAGTATACGATAAGGAATTCTTTATGAAAGTCAGAAGTGGAAAAACAAAATTAGGCCCCAAAAAGGCCCTTTGTGCTGCCTCTCTGGGAATATTGTGACCCACAAAATCACTTAGCCGGACTGAGAACAACAGAAAGGACTTAGCATAGAGGAGGGGATTTAGTAACAAATTTGCTTTTTGTTTTATTCCTATTTTTCTCCTTTTTCTTCTTCAATATTTTAAAATGTTGCCTGCCCAGGTTACTGTAAAAACACAGTCTAAGCCCTGAATAACTTTGGCTCCTTTGGAAGCCGCCACTGCTAGGACAAGGCCTAGCACCCAAGCGCTCTGGTCTATGCAGAAGACCTCTGGTTTAAGGAAGAGTCTTTCTTATTCCAGACTGCATTTTCTGCAGTTGCTTGGTCCAGGTCCAGAAAATATAAGTGAAAATAATGTCTCAGGCAGCCTTCAGTGGAGGCTAGTCTGGACCCTCTAATTTCAATTTTGCGGTACCACAAGTGCCGTATTTTCAATCCCTGCTCTTCTTTCATCTTGAGTTTGGGGGCATTTGCCTTGTTGGTTTATTAGGGAAATGGAACTGCATCTCACAGATGAAATTGCTGGAAGTAGCTCCAAGCTGTGCAAGTACTTTTGAAGAACATAGTAAAAGTGCTAAAAAAAAAAAATAAACGACTTTTTTTTCTTTGATTTTTTTTTCATTCCATTGAGATTTGCCCTAGAACATTTCTTTTTTCTCCTGTTTGCTTTTGACCAAAGTGAAACAACTCCTTGTTTATGCAGTTGACGTTTTCGGGCCAGCCTTACCTCTTGGCCATCAGGGCCCCGGGAGCTCTCAGCGTGCCGGGCCACCTTGCTGAGGAACTGCAGCAGCCGGTGCAGCGTGTCGCTGTGGCACGGGGGCAGCAGGAAGAGCAGCAGCTGGAGCGTGGCAAGCTGCGCTGGGCCTTCCATGTCTAGGCAGAAAGCAGCCTGTTATTCAGTGCCATTCCTGTCCTGCTCATTGCACATTTCCAGCTGGACAGCCTTGGATACATCTTGCCTGTATTTTAAATTCATGAGATCTGGAGGGAGCTGGACTGTGTCCTACTGTTTGGCTGAAAGCATGTGATTCTGGCCAGTATGTCAACCCATGCATCTGGGAGAGTCCAGAAAGGGCCAGGCCATTATTGTGTTTGCTGCTCTGCCACCCTGTAACCCACATGTTTCCAGAGAACTCACAAACCATGATATTTTTGAGAATCATTCATCTATCATAGCCTAGGACATAACTTGCCTAAGGTAGACATGAACTGAGCTTCAAATCCATCTGCACACTCCACTTTCAGCTCTGTCATTGACTCTTTACCTGCTCCTGGCAGATTGACCAAGGAGTTTGGAGCGAGGCCATTCACATAGTTCTTACCTAGGACTTTAGGGTTGTTTCAAGCAGAGCTCTGAGTCCATCCTCAAGCTCTCTGGCATTGCCTATTTCCTCAACTCCGACAACAGACACTGGGGCCATCAGAAGCAACTGCCTTCACCATGGTTAAGAGGAGAGGCTGAGCAGGGCAAACATGCATGCAAAGCTGCAGCCCCAGGGCTGCTGGACTGGGGACCTTGGAGGGGTCACCCCAGCTCAGTTGTTTTCTGATCTTACTCATTTCATCAAGTGTGCCTACGTCTTGTACTGTGGAGCTGGATGAATAAGCCTTCTGCATTCATCTCTGATGCAGACCTTTGTGATTCTTCAAATCCCGAGTGCATCCTTCTCAACCTCCTCCTCTCCAGACTGAAGAGTCTCACCTCCTCTTGCAGGGCAATTTTTCCACCTCTCAGTCATTTCAGTTGCTTTCATTTCCTACTCTCCCTAGAGATGGGGCATCCAAAACCATACACAACTCTCAAGGTGTGTGTGCTCCAAGATTTGATGACCACAAAATGAACTCTCCCCCTCCACCCCCATCCTGTATTAGTTTGGGTTTATTTTTTTAATAACCTGTCATGGGACAATTGTCAAATGCTTTTTGAAAATACGCTGACCACTGGACCCCTTTTATCCCCACATAACTGCCCTCACAGAGTCCGGCAGGGCCGGATGGGAGGATTTCACTTCATAGAAACCATGCGGACTCTTTTCCAGCAGACTATGTTTATTCCTGTGCTTCATGAACTCATTCTTCATCGCAGACTCTCCCCTTTGTCAGGGATGGGCAAGACTTGTCCATAGCTTCCCAGTTCTGCTCTACAGCATTTCTATAGATGGGTCTTTCAAATCCCTGAAGGAGCTTGCAGCTCATATTATTGAAAATTTGTGAAACAGTCAATCAGCAAGTTCACATCAAATAGGAGTACATATATAAAATTCTACATCTAAGACTTTAAATAAAAGTAGAGGTATAAAATAGGAACAGCACAGCCACCTCCAGCTAGGATGCTGTTCTAGCCTGCTTTTTATTTGGTAGTCTATTTGCTGTTTTTTCCCTTGGATCCAGGCCTTTCCCTATCACCTGCTGAGACAAAGACCATTACTGCTCGTTGTGCAAAGTACAGCACTGCAAAATAGAAAAGATGGACACTGCAGCCAGCCTTTCTTCTTTGGCACTCCTCAGGCTTTTCCGATCTCACTGAGAAGACCCCATGCTAAGACATGCCCCAGTCTCAGGATACATTCACCCTGAAGGAAGTCAGCGGTACATGCCCATGACAACAAGCAGATATGCCTGTAGCCCCACACCTTTGTTCTGGAGGTGATTTCAACAAGGATGGACTTGATTGTACACTTGGTTTGCAGTATAGGAGTGCTCTGCTTAGTACTTGGGCTGGTGAACAGAAAATTCCTCATATATTCTCCCAAGCCACATCTGTCCCCTCCACCACATGCCCTGTCTTGCTCCCTGATGTTGCACAGCGCCTGACGCAAGGCCATTGGTATTCAGTTGCTCAGTTTCATGTGGAAGCAGGGATTTAAGGATCTGAGGAATCAAATCTGAGGCAATAAAGATGGAAAAAGGGAATCAAAGGGATGATGAAGGGAACCAAGAAAGATCGAGGATGGGAGTTGTGGAGCCTAAAAACTCAGTCACCTGAACCGAGAAGGGTAGGCAGACCTGAGCAGAGCATTTCCAAGGATGTCCTTACAGATAGTGCCAACAGGCAGGGGACAATGCAGCTGGGCTGAGTTGTCACGTAGCATAGTCTGATTTATGCCGGGGAATGAACGAGGCGATTGCACAAGAATTAAATTTCTTCACAGACCTTTTTCTTCTTACAAAACCAAGAACAGTGAGTAGGCCATGCAGAGGGGGAATAGCACATCCAGAGTACTTACATGCTGTGCTGAGAAAGGCTTCATAGAGCTCTCTGGGAATCAGGGAATCTGGCATGTCACGAAGAAACTCTTTGAGCAGAGCAGCCACGTCATGAACACTTTGGTGCTCATCTAAGAAGACATCTAATCCTTGGTCAAACTCTTCCCTCAGCTTGAAGATGGAGAAAATGGGAAGAATAAAAGCAACAGGCAGTTATTCCTCTTCAAATGAGCTGTGATCAGTCCCTGAACCAGTTGGCTACTTCTCTGGCTGGCTGGACCGATCCAACGCAGGGATGTCCAGGGAAAGCAAACCTGCCAGAGCCTGACAGCCTGCAGGAGCTCCTGCCTGCTGCATGGTGCCCACAGGAAGCTCCGAAAGGGCCACCAGGGGACGTAGGCTTATCTGCTAAAGGCAGCCTGAAGACAGAAAGCAGAATGAAGCCTTCTCTATGGCTGGGAGAAGGCTCCAGTGGCTGTCAGCTGGACCACTGTGTCTCCTTGTACTCTCTGAGCAGCAGTTTACAGACTGCCAGCACTTTAGGACGTGTCCATAGTATTTTAGACTCCTGCATGTCAATGCCTGCTTTACTCGTTCCCCTGCCCTCTGAATGCAGTACTTTCTTGGAACTCCCAACCCGGAAGATGCCAACTGTCTGGAGACCTGGAAAACAGAGATTAATGCTCCGCATGCACACAACTTTCCTCAGCCGGTCCTCACCAAGCAGGCTGGCATCATGGAAACAGTTCTGTTTTACTGCACATGGGGCAGTCTGTCCTTCTCTGCTTTGTGCAGAAAGGATGAAAATTAAAGTTCAGGAGCCATGAGATTTACCTTGGATTAATAATCTGCATCTTAGGGAGGAGAACCCACCTTTATAGTCACTTTGAGCTATAAACTGAACTCATGGAAGAATGGACAGAGACAATTCATGGACAGAGCACACTGGGAGCAGGTCACTGATATACATGATTGACATTTACCCCTCTGTCCAGATGTTGCATCTAGCTCAGGGGGCTCTCTTTGGTGGACAGGAGATGGCAGCACAATCTGCTCCAAAAAATCAGCTGCCTTCTCTGGTCTCTAGAAATTGAGGCCAAATTGCCCCAGTTGAGCACTTACGGCATCTCTATTCTGGGACTTTCTGTCTGTCTAGAGATAAAAGGGTTTTTTTACCATGCGTTTCAATGTGCTGGCAACATCTGTCCACAATCCTGGGGACCTGCCAAGTGATAGGATTGAGGCTCAACATCTTCTTGCCCTGTCTTCTCTGCAGATCCAGCTCGTGGGGATGGGACAACTGCAGTGCCTCCAGCAGCTTGGAAGTGTTGTCACTCAGGTCGCTGATGGAGTCCACGGACATTGCCCCCTGAAATAAAGCACAGAAGCAGTTTGCAAGGTGGCTCTAACTACCCTGTGAGATCTTCAAACACCATTCATTGCTGTGACCACACAAGTCAAGCATCACCCCTGAATGGGCAAACACAGAGGTCTACAAAGAGCAGGTCTGGCTCCCAAGAGATGAGGCTGCAGCAGTCTCTGCTCCAAAGCGATGAGACAAACCAAACCTGAGCTACTGCCCACTTCCCCTCACTGAACACAAGATTAAGAACAAGAAGGTGGCCAAGGCCAGCCAGCTGCACTGTCTTCCTTTGATGCAAAAGCAGTCAGTAGAGGAAGCACAGCCCTTCAGAGACATGGCTGTTGTTGCCTCAGTAATGAGAGTCTCAGCCTGCTGGGATGCCAGGCAGATGACACGAGCCACCATCAGTGGCCACAGCTTCTGATGGAAATTTAGCCAAATGGGCGACTGTTCCATGGAGAATTCACATCTGCCCACAGTGCTGCTTGCCAAGCCCTGATGCAATGGAAGAGCAGAAAAAGCCACACGTACGATGATGAAACGTACACCCAACTCCAATGACTTCTGGCACCACAGCTAGGTCTTTTTGGCAACCGTGGCTTTCCTTAGCTCTCAGCCTTGATAAGAGCTGAGCTAGCAAACAGTGCTGCACCCTTTATAGTCCATCTTTTGTGTCAAGTGGCCCCTGATTGCATGAACTCTGTCCATCCCCAAAGAGCAGACAGGGACTAACCCAGCACTCAGCATGAATAATTCACATTCAGAGAGACAAGACCCTGAGAAAAAAATAAAGGCATGCTAATTGCTGAAGTCAGGGTCTTCCCCAACTTCAGTGCCATCATAGCATGTGGTTGCCACACAGTTTGATTCATTTTTCTAATTTTACCCTTCGGTGGTTCCAGGAGCTGTGGTCAGGAAAAGTGGGGGAAAGCTGCTCCTCAGAGAACATCCTGCAGGGTCCCAGCTCACAGCCTTTGCCCAGCAGAGACTTCTTCTGGATCTGAGCCCTGAATCTTATCACTGTGTGTTCCACCTCCAAGCAGAGCCGGCGACTGCTCTTCACTTCTTCCTGCAGTTGCTTGTACACACGGTCATTGTCAATGACTTGGAAGAGGGGGATCCCAAAAGTCTGAGGAGAGCCATCTAGGGAGAAGCACAGGACAAATGGAAGAGTATTGCTAGCAGCCAAACCAAGAGGAAGCTGCAATAGTGTAGGGCAGCTGCCAAAAATGCATGCGCTAAAGCTGTATTAGCTGTGTCTGTTCAAAGGTGACAGTTTTGATAATCATGGCATCGATAACCATGGCATGAAGAAAGACAGTGACTGTTAATTCTCACCGGACTGTGCTCTACAGTTTTCTCTTCCCCAGGTTTGTGGTTGACACCTTCAAGGAACAATAAAACCAGAGCTCAAAGCAGCAGGATTGGGGGTGGAAAACACAGGTAGAAATCAATATTTATACCTAGGTATATGCTCATCCATATGAATGTATCAGTGCATTCAGTCACACATATGCTCCCTCTCCATGCACTCTCTAATGCCCGTGTGCATAGCACTACAGTGCACACACACTAAAAGTAAAATAGCATGGGAGATGTATCGTTGAAGTTTGGCAGGCTTCACCTGCAGCTGATGGTTCAGCTCCACCAAATATCGCCAGTTCTGCCATCAAGAGCCCAAAGTCTTGGTAAAAGGGAATCTGCTCACCTTTCTTCTCCTTGGAAAAGCTCTCCAGTTTCTGGCGGATAGACTTATTACCTTTAGGGCTAACTATAAAGAGAAAAGAAAGCAAAGGTTATGTGACACATCTGCTTTAGTACAAAATTTGACCTGCATCCTCAGCAGTCACGGGCATCTCACTTGGGCAAAGGGATGCCGTGTGCCTGGAGCAGGACCTCAGTCATCGTCCAGAGGCCCTTAGGAGGACAGGGGACCTCTCTATTCCGGCACTCAGACAACAGGATCAGAAGAGTGGCCATCAAATGGGTTCTCACATACAAAAAGCCAGTGGGAAAATCATAGATGGTCAAGATTGTAGCTTAAAATTGTTCTGGTCACCTTTATATTTTGTCTCCATATTTGTTATACATGACCCTATGTTAATGGTGATGTCCTGGGCACTACTTAATGACTTGGAAAGATAACTCAGCTCAGGTTCAACAATCTGCTCTCACCACTGAAAAAACAAAAATACTGCCCTGGAAGAAATTTTGTGAATGATTTAGAGAGGATAGGCAAATAAAGCTAGACAGAATACAAACCATCCCAAAATCCCACACTGGTCCTAGAGAGTCACATCCCACTTCTAAGTATTCCCTTGTCTGTACAGCCAAGGACTGCAGTCAGCACTTCTTGCCACAGCAATGAACTGAAAATCCATCGTTACATACTCTAAATCCTTTCTAAGATGCATTGTCCCATTCCAGCTTGTGTGCCTTATTCTAAGGAATTCTCTTAGACACAGCATATATAAATGTTTGGGTTATTTAGTAAGACTTGGAAGAGAACTATTACATTTGATAAGAACAGTATGTCCATAAAAGAACAACACAGGTTAATTATTACCCAGCATCATATGTGTTGTTTCATTCAAGTGGCCAGAGAGTAAGAAGACAGAATATAGCCTGGAGCCATAAAATACCCAGATCAGGAAGCCAAAGGCCAGCAAAACTCAGCAGTTTCACCACAGACCCAGGGGGGGTGACACAAGGCACTGAGGCAGAACATCACAGTGACTCTTTTCTCCTAAGTGGTGTAAAAGGCCTGTCCAAAAAAAAAAAAAAGAGGCTGGATGCCTTTTGTTCCACGTTGCCCAGGCCTTCCCTGGAGAAGCAAGGGCTAAAAGAGGTGCTGAAAACCTTGTCCTTTAGGTACTGGCTGTGCAATCGGTGTTTATTAAAGAAGGCAAGAATTTCACATGGGCAGCTGTTGGGGAACAAGTCCAGGTGGGTACATGGACCAAGCAAAGACCACACAGCCCAAATTCAGGCATTTCCTAATTTTGTAAACTTCTCATAAAACACTGAGCTGGGAATGCAATGTTTCAGGTGAAGTATTTTAATAATCCTCAGCTGGAATCTTACCCCAGCCAATTGCAAAAAAAAGCAATTGCAGGTAGAGATTTAAAGGGTACAAAGATGGATGAAAAGACAGAGAAATTCACCAAACAGCAATTGCTTCCTTCAGACATCTGGAGAAAGTGGTGCACAAACGCACACAAGGATGAAGACCCAGATTCTTCAGTACCCTGTGCTTGTCCTGTAGGAAGAGAGAAGCCTAATACAAAGCAAAATGTAGCACAGGAAAAAGGAAAGGAAAAAAAGGAAAGAAAAAAGATAAAAAGAGAAAGAGGAAAGAGAATGTGGCCAGAGCCCACAGGGACTTTTATATGGCCTGTGGTGGGGTGGTGCTGTAGACTCAAGTTGATGGGATGTTCTCGGAACAGGCTAAAGGAAAGTGTTCTCTTTCTCTTAAAGCTATTTCATTGTGCAAAATCTCTGCAATATTAATTAAAACAGGAAAAAATCATCTCTCACCCCTACTAAGTAAGTGTAGTTCCCTTTTGGTATCTACTCACTGTCCAGCATGGGGTTGAGGTTGAGCTTAGGAAAAGCACCTTCCCCTCCAGGAGAGGGACATGGTGCTGGGACAGGTCCCTGTAGAGGCTGGGAAGCTCCATCCTTGGCGGACTCGGCCCCAGCCACCCTGGGCAGCTGCTGGTGACACCTTGCTGTGGGCATGCAGTGGGGCTGGTGACCCTTGAGGTTCCTTTGACCCAGTACTGCCGAGACCCGTGAGGCATCTTCTGCTCTGCCATGGTATCAAAACATGGCCCAGGGAGGAGGCATTTGAAGCTGGTCTCCTGTCAACTCTTGGGTAACAACCATAATTTGGAAGGAGTGAGTCAGTCCCTCGCTAGCTGTACTTGCTGGCTTAGATGCATAGACATCTGAGCCCATATCCCAGTCATCACAGGGGACAGAGGTAGCTATGGGAACACAGAAAATGACTGTATTTCTATATAGGTCAAGACAGAAGATCACAGTCCCTGTGGAGCTTCTATTTTTGTCTGACCATTAATTTCAGCTGAGCATCTTCTAGCTTTGCATAAGACCTATCTCAGCATCAGGGCTTTGTGCGTGTGCTGAACATCAATCCACAAAACAAAGCCCATCCCAAGAGCATTAAGATGGCTGCGTTGGAAGACCTCACTGAGCCCCGTTGCATCTGTTTTGGATTAGGAGACTTCAAAGAAGGCAACTGGCAAGGTCAAACTCTCACACTCCTACTCTCACACAAAGCCTCCTCAGGAGGCTGATGAGACCTTAGAGGCTCAGACCAAAGTAAGAAAGAAAACATTAGAATGAACCCAAAGTCATAAATAGGTGTCACAAACATTATCCCATAAACATCAACTCATTTTATGAAGCAGGGGAGTGGGGATGAGCTGCAGAATGGCTTCAATGCCAAGCTCCCTCCGCAGGAGCTATTTTCTCCCATCACCTACCTTTTGCCAGGCTGAGATCTCCAACAAGCAGCTTTTCCTGCAGCTGGTAGAGGGCAAGCTCTTGCAGACTGGCTCTTTCCAACTCTGAGAGGTTGTGCAGGGGCACGGGTTGCATTTTGGTGCTGTGTCCTGGCAGAAGAGCTGAGCTACAGTTCCTCTGAAAAGCAAGCACGTCAAAATAAACTTAAAGAAAAAACAGTCAGAGCACAGAAGCACATCACTGACACATTTATTTTGGGATGAAAGCTGCTGAAAATGCCATGCAGCATCCTGGCATTGTGCAGGTGGCACTTGCTCCCTCTTTTACCTCTCTAAAGGGCCTGCTGGTCTCCAGGTGTCCCCAGCCACACTGTCTCACCTTGAGCATCCAAGTGAAGGGCTTAGGGACATTGGAGAAAGCACAAGGGATCTTGGCCCAGGCTCCTAAGACCCCATGGGCTCCTCGAAGCATTTCATTGCTTGCCAGAGTATTTCCTGACCAATTCTGTCCATGTTTGCTTCCACAAGAAGCTCAAGACCAGCAGGCCTTCAACTAGCTCATGGACATAAAATGTGAGCCAGGAACTGTATTCCAGGATGAGCCCCATCAGTCCCTGGACCTACTTCATGTGAGCGAAGTCAGGACGGAGGCAAAGAGAACTCTCTGCTTTCTGAACCTGAATGGATAATGTAGTTCCAAAGTGCAAAAAAAACTCACACAAGAGGAACCGATAAGCGGCACAGCCTCCAGTTTGCATCTAACACACTTTGCTTTCCCTCTCTCACACATCTGAGCTAACAGACACCACCAGGGACTGTCCCTCTGCCCAGGTGCATCCCCACACTGCACCTGCAGACTGAACCTTGAGCTGCAGAGGCTTGTGGCAATCAAGTGAGGGGGTCTTAAGCTTGCAGGGACCTTCTCTCGCTTGAACTTACATTAACAAAAATAGGCAACAGGAATCAATCTTCATATAGAATCATCCAAATGCTACTCCTGGCCTCCTGACTGCAGTTCAGCACAAGCAGAACCAGCAGCTCTGGCCAGAAGGGATTGGGATGAGCTACCAGGTTCGGCTCAATCTTTGCAGAATGCTTGGCAGGCACATACTGCTGCTCTCTTTCATTCAGTCTTCAGCTCTAGATCTTAAAGGACAAAGAGCAACTGAGAACTGCCAAATTCCCAAGAGCAGCTGCAGAACGGCTCTGACTCGGGCTCATTCCTGGTGACTATTTAGCCTGGCATCACGCACGCCACCACTCACAGAACCACAGAGTGGTTGCAGACCTGGAGAGATCTAGCCCAGCCCCCTGCTCAAGCACTCCCTTCTCAGCTTCCCAAACAGCCCTGGGCAGGCTGGGGTTGAACACTTAGCTCCCCTATCTCCACCAAGGAGGAGTTTATCAGCCCGGAGGCAGTAATTGCCACCGGAGTGCCCTCTCCTGCGCCTTTTCTTCTCCCTGCTGTTTCCAATGACCCAGAAAGCCCAAGGACAGATTCACGAGAGCCCAGGAACCTGCCCACAAGCCCGTCCCCACCAGCGAGCCCTGCGATGCCTCTGGCAGCGCCCGGCCAACCGCAGGCACAGTCCAAAGAGCAAAAACAGGAGGAAACAGAAGATAGGAAGTTATCAGCACATACCCAGCAAAGACATGTGGTCCAGGACACAGACGGAGGCTTCCCAAAGAGGGCTTCAAAGCACTAGCAAAAAAATATTAGAGCTGGCAATATCCTCGAGCCAGTATTCAGGGTGAAGGCGCACCCGGAGAGCGCTGTGGAAGTCTGCACGAGGTGCTGCACCGGCCTCTGCGGGGTAGGAGCTGAGCACCTCTGCCCCTTTGCCTGGGGGAGGAATTTTCCTTGCGGCAGTGTTTGATTTGACCCAGCTTGCAGTTTTTTAAAGGAGATTTAGAAAGTTATGTAAATGAAAAATAAATAGATAAAGATAATAAATAAAGAGTTACGAGGCTATCACAAAAGGGCAGATCATAAAAGGAATTCAGCCAAAGCCAAGCTACAAGCCCCTGCCTGGATATAGCAACCAAAAAGAGCTGCAACAGAGCCAGGCTTTTTGAGTGCAACTCAATGCTTAAAATTTGCCTTGTGGGTGACTGCCTAACAGAACTGAGCTCATGGGCTTCACACAGGGTGTCCAGGCAGCCTGTGAACTGCTCCATCACCAGCAGATAGAGCAGATAACGGGGCAGAAAAGCCCTCGACCTGGGTGGCCCAGAAGACATCACCTGTCTGCAGCCGAGAGGGTCACAGAGCTCCAACAGAGGCTGCAGGAGGCCACAGCTGCAGCCACCGCCAGAGCTGCAGGATTGCTCTGAGCACAGAGTCACCAAGGATGCCTTAGAGCGAGCAGGAGGAAACCCGATTAGAGAAGGGAGAAGAGAGGGACAGCAGGAAAAAGTGAGGACCCAGCTGCTTATCTGGTCCCTACCATAAACCCTGTGAGAGCAGCCAGCTCGCCACTCAGCTTTCACTGAGCACGTTGACACAGCAGTTGCTCTGCACTAACTTACTGTGCTTATTTTTTAAGACCAGGAGGGTTTTTTTTTTTTTTTTTTTTTTTTTTTTTTAAGTTCACCAGTCTCCCGGGAAGAACTTGGCACAGGAGCAAAGGAATTATATTTACCTTCCTTGCTTTCTTGGTGATAGCCGAGGCGCCTTTCTCCTCCTTCACGATGATGGTTTTGAGAGCAGCATCTTGGCCATGTCCTGCCACGAACCGAGGGCGAAGGAGCCTTGCTGCAGGCTAGGAGGACAAGGAACTGAGACGCGGAGCAGAGAGGCTGCGGCTGACTGGGGGACAAGCAGGGTGATGAGAAAATGAATTTCCTGCCAAGAGAAATGAGAGCCAGAAACGCAGCGTAGAGATGGAGGGCAGGGTTAGATGGAAAGGAACAGCACTTCCCACGCCCGACAATGTTTGTTCCCTAATGGAAAAGCCTGTTGCTCAATTGCCGGTGTCCCTCCACTTTCCCTGCCCCACAGCTATCTACCAAAGCTCGAGACGCTCTGGCAGGCAAAATCTGGAAGGGAAAGTTGTTGCTCGGGTGCAAGGGCTTCCACCACGGTGTTCTGCACGGGACCTCAGGACTGCTCCATCTCAGCATCTTTGAAACACCCAAATCTCCAATGCGGTTCAGGCTGAGCAGGCGCAGTGCCCAGGGGAGGCACTGCCAGGCACCATTCCTGTTTTTTTATTCCTTCCTCCCCACCCTTTCTTCTTTTCCCTTTCTTGGTAAAACGCCACTACTTGCAAAACCCAGCCAGAGCCCCTACACACCTCTTGGCTTCCCTTAAACACACAACGCATTTTTTCTTGACAAAGATACCAAATACTGCCATAATTAGCAAATGCCTTTTGCTTTGAAGAAGAGGGAAGGAAGGTCATAGACCCTGAATTCAGAATCTGTTTAATAAAACATCAGCTGCAATATGTGACGGGAGCAACTTTGTATCTGTTTGTCCTTACCCACTAGCTGGGCAAATATTTGAGAATACTGCTGAAATGTGCTTACTTCCAGATTTTTACATAAATTTCACACATTTGCTCCACAAGGTAGAATCACTGAGCACGGCTCCAGGGCAGCTCTCTACTCCCTCCTCTTCTTCCTCTTGTCCCTATATCATCCCCACGCAGCCAAGCACTGTGCCACCAGCATGAAGACAGCCCTCGTGCACCCAAAGGGAGAATGTCATTCTGCCATGGCAAAAATCCACCCTCTCCCCTCATCTCAACTGTCACACGCAGGTCCTGGTCTCACCTTAGGGGTATATTCCAGACCTGAAAGAAGGTCAGAGAAGGGTTTCTGAAGTCCAGCTCCCATGGGAAGCCTAAACATTGGGCACTGGTGGCACAGTGGTCATCTCAGCTGGCAACAAGGTCTGATTCAGGACTCTCCCCAAGCATATGATGGTTCAAACCTGCTTCTTCTGAGTAACAGGGATTTTAACATCAGGTGGGATTTTAAGATTAAATAACAGGAGGCAGTTAAGTACCCTCTTTCCATGAAAAGAGTTGAAGACTTGAAGGGCAGGAGTACAGAAGCTGCCTAAACCATTGCCCCAGGAGAAACAAGTTGGCACTTGTTGATGGCTGAGGTCATAAGTGCTTCGATATAGGGAGGAGTCTCTTCTAGGATTACACAAATCCTGAAAGACCACCCAGGAAAGAGCTACACACCTTCCATCTGGTTCAAATCCTCTGTCTCAACCACTAAGACCTGAGCAGTGCAACGACTTTGCTCTCTCATCCTTATGGCAGAGCTGCACCAGCATGGCTTTCTCTGGGGCTCCTCAGGTCTGTGCCAGGAGCAACTGCAGGTACATGAACAGTCAGGCCAACTTGCTTTCTAGCTTCACAGGGACTTATACTTGCTCAAACATTATTTCCTAAGCTCATTTTTATCCTATCTTTTCTCTAGACCACATCAGTCCTGTGCGTGTGTCTGTGTTGTGATCTGTTCTAAACCTTCCTATAGCTTTCACCAATTCAAGTGCTGAGAGCCTGGCTGCCTTTTGGTATCTCAGCACTTGCTCTTTCCAGCTAACAGAGAGCTCTAAGCCTTTCTTCTCCTACATTAGTTTGCTGCCAGCAGATCTTTGTTCTTCTTCCAAGCAGCTGTAGTTGCCTCCTTGCCTGAAAGGAGCTGGATTTTTTGAGGAATCAGGTTCAAAGTCTCACAGAGAAGAAAGATGAACCCCAAACACCTCTCTGAGTCAATACTTGCAGCTTTCCAGAGTGGAGAGCCTTGCACCTAAAACTGAGCAGGATTGAAAGGTGACAAAGGTGACTCTGGTCTTCTCGAGGAGCAGCAGAGTAGGACATACAGAGCAGGATATCTGGCATCTAGACATGCCATGGGGTAGAGACTGAAAAGTAGAGGCCTGCCACAAGGACCGTGAGGCTCCTGGTTCTTGCAGAACTTGGTTTCACCTTGTGATAGAGTCACCCTCCTTCCCAACAGCAGGCAACACAGGTGGGATGAGAAAAAGAAAGCAACAAGGACAAGACTTGAACATTAAAGGAAAAAAAAAAAAAAGTTTATTCCTTAAAAATACAATGTCCAGCTGCAGTGACACAAATATTCAGAGAGGATTTCTTTACAGCTGCTTCCAGTGTAGCAATCCTTCCCTGTCAGGAGTAGGCAGGCCACTGGCAGGCAGGTCCCACAAAAGGTTTGGGTGG